CAATGAAGATATGTGTTTCTGTTTATATCAGACATGAAATAAAAATATTTTGCATGATAACAGTTAGATTTTCCTGAATAAATAAAAAAAAAATTGTTTTCTTGCAGGCATCTCTATGTAATCTATCATGTTTATATGGATTTTTACAAATAGTTTTTCATTATTGCTCATATAGAAATTGCATTCTCCTTTTCCTGCTCAGGTACAAGATCTTGTCTTTAACTTGCACATGATCCTGACAGATACAGTAAAGATGAAAGAGCATCAGGAGGATCCAGAGATGCTGATAGACCTTATGTATAGGTAAGGTCACAGTCAGTGCCCCAATAGTGGAAGCAATAGGAAAACTCCAGAATAGTTTACTTTCACAGCCTTAATTCTTTGCTGGATATTTCCCAGAGAGTCAAGAAAAAGGAAGCAGTTCCAGATGCAGATATCCTGATTTCTTTGTTTTGTTCCCAGTCCTTTTAGGGATTGTTCAGAAATCACATTTGGCATTAACTTCATTAGTTGGATATTGGTGGCCACTATGAGCCTTCACCAAAAATAGCTTACTTAGTAAAAAAAAATAAAAGAAATGTTGCTTGGTACTGGTTTTATTGATATCAGCCTCTGTCAAAGCCAATAAGTGGTAATCAATTATAGAAAGGAAGAGGGAGGTTTGAGTTTTCATAACTCATTGTGAAGGCATCAGGCATTTTGAGCCTGGAAAAGAAGGAGTGCATAGCTGTTAAGGAATATCAAAGGAGAAAATAATTAGAAGGAGTTGGCAACATCTTTTCTCAATTTCATCCTACATGAATTACCAAGCTGTAACTCCATTTAGAGGTTTGGGGCTAAAACTGCTATTGTTTCTGCTGATGGGGAATTACAACCCAAGATGGGCAAACAGTTGGGAAAACTGTTAACCAATATGAGCAGAAAGGCACTTGTCCTACATTTAAAACACTGAATGTGCCTGCTTTTAAAAGGTAGAGAAAGTAGGAAAGGTACAAAATGGAATTAAGGAACATAAGAACATCACTAGAAATCACCCTGTAGATATTCATGACAAAAGCTCTCCACCTTACATACTGTAAGAGGGAGACAAAGGCACTTAGTGTAGTAGATGTGCGTAAAAGTTAAGACATTTGTCCCTGATCATAATTTGCTTCTCAGGATAGCCAAGGGATACCAGGCGTCACCAGATCTGAGGCTAACATGGCTGCAGAACATGGCAGCAAAGCATTCCGAACGTGGAAACCATGCAGAGGCAGCACAGTGTTTGGTGCATTCTGCTGCACTAGTAGCTGAATATCTGAGCATGTTGGAAGACTGCCGCTATTTACCAGTGGGCTGTGTCACTTTCCAGGTAAGAGAAGAAGGGAAAAGCAGAGCAGTTGCTGTAAAAGGACTAAACTACTATGTCAGAATAGCCCTACACCTCTACTCATTTACTCTGTACTTTTATATCTGCTGTTGAAAGAACACATTTTAGCTCCTTCCAAGTTTTCTCAAGAGAATCAGAAATAGAGCAGGGATATTCCATATCCTGATAAGGTCTCTGAGTTTCAAAGAAATTATAGCGCAGAGGACTTTAATCTGATTTTGGAATTCAATTTATGAGACAAGGATAACATGTCAGTGGCTAAGAATCATAGGAGTTTCAGCCAAAGTACCTGGAAAAGACCAAGTTGTCTACCTCAGTTCTAGATTGAGTTATTCCTCTCCCTCTGAACGGCTTTGGGAGAACAAGACAGTAAAAAGAGTTTTACAGAATACAAAATAACAGAGTTGGAAGGGGGCATACAATTCGAGAAATGGCTGTCCAGTCTCTTCTTAAAAACGTCCAGTGATGGAGCATCCACAACTTCTAGAGGCTAATTGTTCTCACTGTCAGGAAATTTCTCCTTAGTTCTGGGTTGCTTCTCTCCTTGATAAATTTTCATCTGTTGCTTCTTGTCCTGCTCTCAGATGTTTTGGAGAATAGATTGACCCTCCTCTTCACTGTGACAGCCCCTCAAATATTGGAAGACTGGGAATTCCGGTTTGGCATTGCGGCAATGCAGTCAGGGAAATAGCGGGGCTCTGATGAGCCCCCCAAAAACCCCGGCTGGCAAACCGCCGCTGACAGGTCTGCGGACCTACCCTGTCCTGAAGGGACGGGAAAGAGAGGGACCCCTTGGGCGGCCAAGAGGAATGGGCAAGTTCCTCGGAGGCCGGAGGCAACCCTTTAAGTCAGCGGTGGGGGACGGCAGCCATGGCGGCTGCCTCGAGACTGCGACAAATCGGGACAAGCAATGTGCAGGAGGAAGGAAGAAAAGACGATGTGCTTTGGAGCCGGGTGAGTGACACCAACCTAGGCGAGAAACAACGTGTGAACAAGGATATTTACAAATAAGAACCCCAGCCTTACCTAGCGGCTGAAGATCTGAGGGGCTTGAAGATTTTGTAAAATAAGGAAAGGAATTGAAGACCCTTTAAGAATTTTACACTGATTGATTGGAATGAATTGCTTATTAACTAAATAGAGTTGGATATTCGAATCTTCTTGTTAAAACTGAAATGGACTTGACTTTTGAAAAAGAGAAAAGCAATAATTAAGGATTTGTCATCTTTAAAAGCCAGACAAAGAGATTAAATGGATTGCTACATAAATGTTTCAAAATGGCGATTGAAGCTGTGACTAAGTGAAAGTGTTGATTGCGGAAACTTGTTTTTTTTTTCTGAAAAGAACCTATTTGACTCGTTACGAATGCTTAATTGTTTAAATGGTTCAAAGTTTAAGTGAGCTTTAAATAAAAACAAGAAGTGCTTATGGTAAAATAAAGATAGAAAATTAAAAATAAAAGATGATTAAAATAGAAGTGGGAAGTTAAGGTGACTAAAAGTGATATTTTCATAAAAGCATAATTTGATGTAACATGTTTTAGTTTTAAGTCGATAAAGTGGTGGATGATAATTATGATTAATTGTTAATGATTATAGATGATATACTAAGGTACACAGATTGAAGTCATAATTGAGATTGAATTTAATATATGTTGGAAATGATTAATATTAAGAAATAGATGGGGCTACACCCTGGAAGAGTTTAGTTGTAAACAGTGGATTAATAGACAACATATTGAAGAAGAAATTTTTAATAAGTTAGCAGAATAGTAGTTGGAGTTAAGGAGGAGAATAAGCTGAAAACTCAGCCAAAATAATGTAATGCTGGAAATCAGCCAAATAATAGGTGGAGTTATGGAGGAGAATGCTGTTAATCAGCCAAAGTAAAGCATGCTGAAAATCAGCTAAAACAATGGAAAATTCTGGTAATCAGCCAAATAATAGTTGGAGTTATGGAGGAGATTAAGCTGAAAACTCAGCCAAAATATGTTATGCTGGAAATCAGCCAAGCAATAAGGGGAGTGATGGAGGAGAATGAGGAAAATACATTGAAGAATAATTATTAATAAGGGGTGAAAAAGAAAATGTTGGGCGATAATTAAAATGAAATGGAAAAATTTGAGATGTCTGTATAAAAGTTTAAGATTAAGATAGGATGAATTGGGTCTAGAAAATGAGAAAAATAGAAAGAAATTTTGATTAATAAATTGAAATAAAAATTGAATTGCATACATTTGGAAATTAGGATTCGTGGTGATAAAATTGTAAGGTACATATATAGATTAATAGATTAGACTGTTTTTGTGTTTAATGTTGATGTTAAAAGGAGCAATGGAAAAAAAATTTAGATAGAGCGGTATTGAATTTTGATTTATAATTGAATTTATAATTGAATATAAAAATGAGCTTTGCTTTAGTAGGAGATCAAGATGTATGATGAGATAATAGAAAGATTTAAATTAAGATGTTGGAATTTATGTTAAAATTATCTATTTTCATTTGTTAAACTAGTATACTCATTTGTGACTGGACCAAGACTTCGTTCTTGAGAAAATTTTTCTTTTTTGTATTTATGTTGGAAAAAACAAAACAAAAAAATTACAAAAAAAAAAAATTGGAAAACCGCTATCATGTCATCCCTTTTCCTTCTCTTCATTAGACTAGACATGCCCAGTTCCTACAATTGTTCATCATACACTTTGTTTTAGCCTCCAGCTCCCTAATCATCTTTGTTGCTCTTCTGTGCACTTTTTCTAAAGTTCAACATCTTTTTTTGTATCATGTTGACCAAAATTGGACGTAGTATTCCAAGTTCTGTTTCTCTCTGACTCAGTCTCTCAATAATTTACCTCTGATTCCAAGAACATATCTTCCAATGTGCTAGAAGAGTCTGCTGTTTCAGATGACATATTGTCCCCAGATGAAGAGGGCATCTGCTCTGGAAAATACTTCACAGAACAAGGATTGGTAGGCTTGCTTGAGCAAGCAGCTTCTTCGTTTACTTTGGTAAGAACTTCAAATGTGGCATGACTGGGGCTTGTGTGAACTTATTTCCAACATACAAAAGCATTCTATATTGCCTTGATGATTCCTGGCTGATTTACTAGTGGGAAAATAGACACAGAAACAGCTTGGCTTCCTATGCACTGGGGGGAAAAAATCATGTCATGGCTTCAAATGCTAAAATTGAGCCATTTTGCATGCTAATCATTTAGAACGATGTCTGAAGGAGTTCAAATGGCTCAAGAATGGCATAATTTCTGCCCTTCCATATCAGCAGTTCTTGTCTGTATTAGCATAACAGATACAAAGCGCTCATGAAGAATGTATGTCACATAAACCACACCATATCAGGGTTAGAACCCAGGAGCTATCAATATTTTGGACATTATAGCAGGACATTATTGTTAGAGCTGTTTTCCTAGGAAAAGGCTCCTGGCATCTGAGCTCATCAAAAGACTGGCATGTTTTCCTGCTAGTTGTTGATTTCAGTTCTTAAAGGGTCTATGGTAGCCCTTCACAAGCCCTAGATTCCTATACAAGAGAGTCTCTAGTTGAGGGAAGACCTAATAAACCCCTTTTTAGACATGTCAACCCAATTGATTTCAGGGAATGCATGCAATTGTGGATAAGGGTATCATCCATTTTATTCCTAAAGCATGCCTTAAAATAAATTTTAAAATAACAAAAAATCTTACATTTCAGTTAATTATACTTTGCACAATACATTTCCAGCATCAGGACAGAAAATAGTTGTATAATAGTAACAATTAGATGTTTTCTTCCATGGGACAGCAAATTATTCCTCAAGTAGCCTTTATCAGTCTTGGTACATTCCTTAGAAGAGAAGCATATCCAGTCTTCTTCAACGTACTATTTTTGGCATACCTGCTACCTATCCAGCTAGTTGAAGCACTGACTGCTGCTACATACCAGTTGTCCCTCATTTCCCCTATTAGCCACCTTGCTACTTGCTTCTTAGTTGTCAGAGCTGTCCTGATGGGAAGTTCCATGCCCTCTGAATTCTTTCTTCATTTCTTCCCAGGGTGGACTTTATGAAGCTGTCAATGAAACCTACAAGATCCTCATTCCTATCCATGAAGCCAACCGTGACTTCAAGAAGTTGGCAGTTGTGCATGGCAAACTGCAAGATGCTTTCAGCAAGATAACTAGCCAGGTAAGAACATTCTGTAGCAGGGTTCGTTGCAGTATCACATTTTAGGAGATGAATTAGGATGATGATCAAAAGGAGCATTAACTTCTCTCCTTCCCAAACATTCTTGTAGTCCATTTTATATTGTCTATCAGAAAAAATAAACACAGAGTATGTTGGCACATCATTTAAGCTGTAGTTTGTTAATTGTCATAATGAAAGGCCAATGTAATCTTGAAATACATTAATAGAAGTTCTGCGTGCAGACCAATAGGAAATAATTCCATTGCACACTGCACTGGTAAGATTACAGTTGGTTTGTTACATTCAGTTCTAAGCATTGTACTTTAAAAAGATCATGGAAAAGGTGGAGCAGTTTCAAAAAAGAGACTAAAGATGATGAGAGTTCTGGAAACAAGCTCCTATGACCAACATTTAAAGGAGCTGAATACATTCAGCTTGCAAAAGAGAAATTTTAAGTGATTTACAGATACACAAGAATTAGACATGTGCAAGAGTGGTGCCAGATTTTCTATTAAAACTGAAAGAGGGATAAGAACCAGCAGGTTGAAATGAAAACCTAGGTTGGATATTTGGATTAGTTTTCTGATGGTAAAAGCTGTTAAGTGGAGCTTCTGCTTCCTTATACTGTAGCTTTTCAAGTAGGTATTGGATCTCTACTTGTTAAGATATAAAAAAGCCACACCTTAGTTTAGTTAGTGTGAGTTGAGGACCAAAGTATTGAATCCATTTGGATAACTTTATTAAAAGTTTTCACAGCTAAAGTTATGTGGCAGTACTTTGAATATCAGGACTAAAAGTGTTCCTTGAAGGGGAAATGAGGCATATGGCTTTATTGTGATATCACTGTTTCATATCATAGATTCCATAAAGAAAAATGGATGGGCAAGGAAATAAACACTTGTAGGTCTCAATTTTTCATAAATATTCCATTTATTTCTATAAATTCATTCTATAAATATGGATGAGGGTAGAAAATGCAGTTAGGAATTGATAAGGACCGTTCAGGTAGCTTGTTCAGCTGATATGGTTTTTTCCCTGAGCCAACATTTCGGGATAAATATTTCAGTGTCTCTAATTGGTAGTTACTATGTTAATTATATGGTGCAATTGATTTTCCTTCATTGTGGAGATCTTAGGGATAGACAGAATGAAGCTAGGTATAAAAAGCCAATTTCTGGCTGCCCTATTAAGAAGGGGAGGGAATTATGCATTGCAGAATTAACACTCTCCCCTGCCCTAGTCCTAAAGAACAGGTATTGTATGTCCAGTTCAAACATACCCTTGGGACTAGCCAGTGATCAGTTAGAGACTAAAGGATACAGAGGTTCAAAAAATTAACTACCTTTCTTCTACCTGTTTTTTCTGTTTCCCTGTCCCCTTTGTTTTGTCAATCAGGCCTCTGGCTGGGAGGTAGGCTATAATGTGTCTTGCTTCTTCTTGTGTGTTTGTGTGAATCTGCATGCAGCTTTAGTCCTGTAATCTCCAGCCTTTCTCTGTGCATTCATCATTAAACTACACCTATAGCCCTTTTATTACAATTGCATAGCAAAAGAATAGAATATCTTATTTATCTTGACCAAACTGTATGTGTGTGTATGTGTGTGTATACCTAAATATCACTAATCTGCAGTTAAAATGAAAACAGTGCAGGGAAACCTCTCTGGATCTCATTTCAACACCTACATTGTTGTTTTCAGTGTCCCAACTACAAGTAGTCCTTGGTTTACAGCTACAATTGAGATTGGGATTGCCATTACTAGCTCACAGTTATAAAGCACAATTTCCCCAGACTGCTGTTTAGTGATGGCAGTTCTGACAGTTTTGGTTGCTGACGTTAAAGCAAAGATTTCCGTATTCACAAACTACGCTTTCTTATAATAGGGAACATTTCCTTTCCATTTTAAATGGAACATTTTTTTAAAAATAATTTTTATTGAACAAACAAACAAAAACAGATATTTACATCTTCTTCTTTTCAACATCTTCGTATCGGTAATCTATACTTATACATTTTCTCTTTCTTATCTTAATCTATCTTTTATACCTATACTTTATACTTTTATACCTATATTTCTAGTATATCATATATATATATATATTCTCTTAATCTAAATATTTTATTTACATTTGACATACCTAGTTTCCTTTTCACAAGTTATATCTTCCCATTTGTTTCCATATTTCTCCATCTACATTTTATGACTTTGTTTGAATAACCTGCATTATTCTATGCTGTAGAGGACTTACATCCTGGACAATTCCCATTGCAGCTTTGTCCCTTTTTAAAAAGCTTAAAAAGATGAGCTCCTTGATCATCTTCCCCACTTGTGGTGCTACAGTGGGAAAGAACATAACATTGATTTGTGGGAGGGTATGAAGTGTGGCCTATTTCTTAAGAGTTGGGGGAAAAGATGTGCCTTCTTGCTGGGAAACTTCCAACCACAGTCAAAGCCACCAACAGCTGAGATGAATCAGCCACAGTCCCTCTGTTCCAGTTTACCCTGCATTGTTCTCCCTCCTCATTTTGCTTATTCTCTATCTTGCTATTGTCCTTGTTCTATTGCTTGAAGGCCCTTGTCTTGTGTCGCTGACACTTCACAAAACTGGCCATTCCCCACTTTGAATTGTAGAGCATGGCTCTCCTGGCCATGTTCCTCCTGTTCTCCCTTGCCCCATTCATTCTGCTTCTCAAATAAAATAAAAGCTCTGGGATTCAAACCTGCCTAGGAAGCATGCCTTTTGTCCTACAGCCTACCCAAATGTTTTAGGACTTTCCATGATAGCTCTGATAGTTGCAGTGTGTGTTCTTCAAAACTATTATTTTCATATTGAAATCCAGAAGTAGATAATTCAGTTCTTAAGTACCCACAGCTTCTGAATTTATTTTGTGAAATAAATAACTAGTCTAAAATAAGAAAAGCTCAGGAATATTATAATGCATGAACAGTGGGGAACACCCTAAAATTATTATTACTAATATCTATGTGCTTTCATCATTTTAATTTCAGAATCAATTTTAAATTACAATCATCTGGCCAAAGAGAGGTGTGTGTGTGTGTGTGTGTGTCTGTGTGTGTGTTCCAATTTGCAAATTAAGGAAGCATTGCACTAGAAGTGCTTCAAAAAATGCCCTGCTAGAAGTTGTTGCTAACCTCATTTTACAAAGAAACAGTCCTTTCTTGACAAAGAATAAAGGTTTCAGAAACAGCCTCCAAGTTCTGCTTTGGCAAAGGAAATGGAACAGCTCAATTGTGAACCTAAGTTTATCTCAGTCTACTAAGAGGCAGTTGGGCTCAGTGCCAATGCTTTTGGGTTCTTCTATGTAGCATGCTTTATTAAGGCACCTCCTTCTCCCTCCCACTCTGGGCAATATGGCAGGAAAGTCAGGTATAGAAATTCTCAAGATGTAGAATGTTGGAATTTAGGGTCAGGAGCTCTGAATATTGCCTTAATTTGTTTGGGTTGAGTTTTTTGATAGTACACATACCATGAGGTACACATACCACTATTACATACCTCAGATCTTCTGCTATTGCATCAGGAATGTTTATCTGTGTTTTTCAGACACTGCTGAACTTCAGTGGTTTTATAGTTGTTCTGTTCTGTTTTCTTTTTCTTCTATCATTTCATCTCTTCCTTGATGTTTTTATTTCCATTGGACATCCTTCATCAAAATTAATCAAGTTATGGCTGTTACCAAATGTATTTTTGACCAAAGCTGTGATAAAATTGATGACAGAGAAAGTTCGTAAGTGTCAAATAGTTATTGAAAAATGGGTGGAGTATGAATTACATTACCATAAGGGAGCACTTGATCAAGTTCTGGGCTGTGCATAGAAAACCTTTACTTGCAAAACCATGAAAGTTGTTTCTGCCTTATAATTATAGCAGTGCATAAAAATAATGTGTTCAATAGACAGTGAACGTGCACAGAGATATCCGGATATCTCATATAACAATAGCAACTTATGTTACGATAAAAAAGGATCTCAGTACAGGTAATCCTCAATTTACAGCCACATTTGGACCAGAATTTTGATCACTAAGTAATAATGTAGTTAAGCAAATCATGTGACCAGACTCAGTTTTATGACCATTTTACCACAATCATTCAGGGAATATCATAGTCATTAAATGAATCATGCAGTCAAGCAAATTCAACTTCCCCAACTGACTTTTCTTGGCAGAAGCGACCTATCTGGGAAGGTTGCAAATCATGATCATGCAACTGCAAGACATGGTAACCATCATAAATGTGCATGGGTTGCCAAGTGCCTGAATTGCAATTATGAGATCATGGGGGTGGTGCGACAGATAACTTTGAGGACAGGTCATAAATCACTTTTTCTGAGGCCATTTGAACCATTGTCAAACAAGCGGTTATAAGTCAAGGACTATTTGTAGTATAAGGGCCTTTAAGAACAAATCACTGAGACAAGACTCCTGTCGTCATCCCCACTCTCTCCAACTGGAGAATTAATTTGGTTGAAGATTTGCCATTCTCTTGCTAACTTCTTTCTTTGTTTTCCTTTCCCACTCAACTTCTCTGCTCTTGATGCGGCCCGGTTCTGATTTGGTGAGTGGACACATGTTTTTGGAAATGTAGTGAGTAGCTGACCTGATTAGTTTGCATGCTTTTAAACTTTTAAACTTTTAACTGATAAAAATTTGAGTAAAAGCTTACAGAAACAAAAGTGTAAACCTCACCATTTGTAATTACATTGATAAGTACATTTGTAATTATACTAATAAGTATACACAGGGAAGAAAGGGATAAACTTCCAAGGCAAGAGATAGAGGGTTAAGAGCAATGTATCTCCTAGAAAACAGTATGAGATTTCCAACAAAAGAAGTACAGATTACTTCATAAAGGGCCAAGAACTTTTATAAAGTCATAATTTTTTTTCAAATTTTCTTTTTTCAAATTTTCAAATTTCTTTTTTCAATTTTTCAATTTCATTTTTCAAATTTCAATCTTTTTTCAACTTAAATATCATTTTAATTTTTAATTCTTTTTTATTTTTAAATCTTTCAATTTTAAATTTCTTTTTCAATTAAGAAATTGAAAAAGATTTACTTATTTTAATTCTTGAGAAATTTTTAAATTCTTAATGGTCTAAGAGAAAAAATAATAATAAACCATGGGAAAAGAGATAGACTCTTCAAAACAAGGAAGATAGTGATGAATTTTTCAAGACAGAGAACAAAAGGCCAAGAACTCTTGTAAACCATCATAAATTTACACTTCCCAACAGGGAAAATATTTAATTTTTACAAATGTTTAATTTTTTAACAAACAAACAGACAAAAAAGTCATGGAAATAGAGACTGACATTATAGTGACTTGTAAAGTGTGTCCTATGTTTCAGTTTATGAATCAAATGTAAACTACTTGAATTACTAGAAGAAACTCTAGAGGCAACTCTACCCACTCTGAAACTCGATGAACAAAGGAAGGAATCCCAACCTAAACAAGAAGACTACACCAAAATAAAACACAATACCGAGCAAACAGCTTCTAAAAAACTGATACAACCAAATCAAATACAATGGGGAACAAATAGCTTCCGTAAAATGTGAGCCTACATATGTATCTAAAGAGGAAGACTGATGGAAACATGTCATTCTTAAAGAAAACAACTAAGAGCAAAGTTCCTACTATCAAAAAACAACAACAACAACTGAACAATCGCTTCCATAGCCTGGGAAATGGGATAGGATGTGTGAGAGAGATCAGGCAGAGTTTCCCAAAAGATGTGGATAACATAAACCAAAACATTCTACATTTGTTATATAAGAAGAACAAGACATTCAAGAAGAAACTGCCATGGCTGCACAAGGATCTCTCTGACAAACTGAAAGACAAAAAGGACAAGTACAAAAAATGGTAAGAAGAACATTTAGCTAAGGCTGATTATCAGGAGATAGTCAGAACATGCAAAGATGAAGTCAGGAAAGCAAAGGTTCAGAACGAACAAAGACTTGCAGCAAAAGTCAAAGATAATAAAAAAAAAGTTTTTTCAACATATAAACAACAAGAACAAAGTCAAGGAAACAGTAGGTCCACTAAAGAGAGAAGATAACAAGGAAGTAACAGAGAGAAAGCAGAGCTGCTTAACTCATTCTTTGCATCAGTCTTCACGCAAAAAGAAATTACAGCCCAACGTAGAAAAAAAAAACTCCCCTTCATGGGTAATCCACGCCTTGTCATGGCAAAGGGGCTTGCGTAGCTCAATGAAGCTATGAGCTATGCCGTGCAGGGACACCCAAGACAGACAGGTCATAACAGAGAGTTCTGACAAAATGTGATCCACTGGAGAAGGAAATGGCAACCCACTCCAGTATCTTTGTCATGAAAACCCCATGGACAGTACCAAAAGGAAAAAAGATATAACGCCGGAAGATGAGCCCTCAGGTCGGAAGGTGTCCAATATGCTATTAGGGAAGAGCAGAGGGCTAGTGCTAGTAGTGCCAGAAAGAGTGAAGCGACTGGGCCAAAGCCGAAAGGATGCTCAGGTGTGGATGCATCTAGTGGTGAAAGGAAAGTCCGATACTGTAAAGATCTATTCTCCATAGGAACCTGGAATGTAAGATCCATGAATCAAGGCAAACTGGACATGGTCAAACAAGAGATGAAAAGACTGGGCATTGACATCTTAGGAATCAGCGAACTAAAATGGACAGGAAGGGGTGAATTTAATTCAGAAGACCATCAAGTATACTACTGCGGGCACGAATCCCTCAGAAGAAATGGAGTAGCCTTCATAATCAATAAAAAAGTAGGAAAAGCAATACTGGGATACAGTCCCCAAAATGACAATGATCTCAGTTCAAATCCAAGACAAACCATTCAATATCACAGTAATCGAAGTCTATGCCCCAACCACTGGTGCTGAAGAGGATGAAATTGACCGGTTCTATGAAGCCCTACAGCACCTTATAGAATTAACACCAAAAAATGATGTCCTTATCATCATGGGGAATTGGAATGCTAAAGTAGGAAACCAAAAGATAACCGGAATAACAGGCAAGTTTGGCCTTGGAGTACAAAATGAAACAGGGCACAGCCTGATAGAATTCTGTCAAGATAATACGATGGTCATAGCAAACACTCTTTTCCAACAACCCAAGAGACAATTCTACACATGGACATCACCAGACGGTCAACCCAGAAATCAAATTGACTATGTGGTCTACAGCCAAAGATGGAGAAGATGTATACCAGTGGTGGGATTCAGCCAGTTCGCACCACTTTGGGAGAACCGGTTGTTAACTTTCTGAGCAGTTTAGTGAACTGGTTGTTGGAAGAAATCGTTAGTGCAGAGAACCAGTTATTAAATTATTTGAATCCCACCACTGATCTATACCAGTGATGGCTAACCTTTTTGTCATCGCGTGCCAGGAGAGGGGGGTGAGGGAGGTTCGCGCGTGCACATGCCCACACCCATAATTCTATCTGCCCTGCCCTGCGCATGCGCGTGCAACTCCCCCTCCCCCCTGCTCCTGGCATGCGATGGCCTGGTAGGCCCATTTTTCTTTCTTACCTGGCTCCAGACTCTCTCTATGCATCTGGGAAGGGCGAAAACAGCCTTTCCCACTCCCTCGGAGGCCTGAAAGGGCCCATTTCCCAACTCCCGGTGGGACAGGAAGTGATGTGTTTTGCTGTCCCCAGTCTCCAAAGCCTCTCTAGGAGTCTTTGGAAGCAGGGGACAGCAAAAACGTCACTTCCTATCCCACCGGGAGTTGGGAAATGGGCCCTTTCAGGCCTTTGGAGGGCCTCCAAGGGAGTGGGAAAGGCTGTTTTTGCCCTCCGCAGATGCATAGAGAGGATCTGGAGCCAGTTAAGAAAGAAAAACGGGCCTTCCCCACCCCACCCACCCCAGCCCCTCTGGAGGCAGGAAACAGCCTGTTTCCCTACTTCTGGTGGGCCCAGAATGCCCGAAAATCAGCTGGCCGGTGTGCGCATGCGCCCCAGAGCTGAGCTGGCATGCCCACTGATATGGCTACGCGTGCCACAGGTTCGCCATCACAGCTCGATACAGTCAGTAAAAACAAGACCAGGAGCTGACTGTGGCTCAGATCATGAGCTTCTCGCTGCAAAATTTAGACTTAAATTGAAGAAAGTAGGGAAAAGCACTAGGCCACTCAGGTATGAATTAAATCATATCCCTGATGAATATACAGTAGAGGTGACAAATAGATTTAAGGAATTAGATCTGATAGACAGAATGCCTGAGGAACTATGGACGGAGGTTCGCAACATTGTACAAGAGGTAACAACTAAAACCATCACAAAGAAAAAGAAAGGCAAGAAAGCAAAATGGTTGTCTGAGGAAGCTTTACAAATAGCTGAGGAAAGAAGGGACACAAAAGGCAAGGGAGAAAGAGAAAGATACACCCAGTTGAATACAGAATTCCAGAGAGAATAGCTAGAAGAGATAAGAATGCATTCTTAAATGAACAGTGCAAAGAAATAGAAGAAAACAATAGAATAGGGAGGACCAGAGATCTCTTCAAGGTATGAAGATATGAAGGGAATGTTTCATGCAAAGATGGACGTGATAAAGGACCAAAATGGCAGGAACCTAACAGAGGCAGAAGAGATTAAGTAGAGGTGGCAAAATTTAATGATTTCTTTTAAAAAAAAATTTACGGGATATTGTTCACATTGTTTTTTTGCTATAAGCTGCCCAGAGTCCCTAGGGAGTTGGGCGACATA